AAGCAATGCAGGAGTTAGGAAAGGATCTTCATATTTTTGAGCATTTCATCCATGAGCAGAGCCAGTGCATTTCTTTCCACAAAAATCATCCCAAAATGTCACGAGTAATTTTCTGCAACAGAACCTGAGTGAAAGCAAGAAGTCTCTAAAACTTGCTGAACAATTAATCACTTCTGCCATCTCACATTACACAGCCTGGAATGCCATGTACTGTACAGTATTTAGAATACGGTAGATCAGCAGATGTATTAAACAGATTCAGTCTTTCTTGGGTAAAAATTTGAACAGCATCTACTGCTATTTGGTGCCAAATACAAGAGGGTTTTTTCAAAGTTTAAGCAGAGAAAAGGAACTTTTAAAACTTCAACTGGAAATATAAAAGAAGCGATGTTATTGTAGGAATGGAACGTGGTATGAGACCTCAAATACACATTTTAAAGTCATAATGTTCTTATATGTCACTTCCCACATTTCCCTTCTTACTTTCAAAAGAATGGATATAGTTTAATATGCACACAAAATTTAAAAAAAGAAGTTTCTCCTATTTCTTCTATCTGTCAGTCTATTTAACACTCATCAGATTTTCTTTATCACTAAGTGAAATTTCATTTGAAAAAGTGGGATTAGAAGAATGGCTAGCAGATGGGAAATAGAGACACCCCTGGGATCATAATGTAATCCATGTCACATTCTCTTATTACATTCTCATCCCACTGAAAAAATAATATCTTACATATTGCATCAAATTATTTAATATAAGAATTTAATGTCACTTTCTTTGGAGCTATGCCTCTCATTACTGCAGCAAATGGACCTTTTCTTTGGTTAAGCCTAAACTTTTCTTTTTTCTAATTTGTAATGAAATTCAAATGTCTAATGAGTTCAATATGACCTGTCAACTTAAATTATCTGTTTGTCTTTCTGTTTACCATATCTATCTGTCTACAGTTTTTATTTTGCTCTGTGAAGTTCAGTTATTGAATCCCATGTTTCCTTCTGGAAGGAATTTCTAACAGATGATTATTCCTGTTGATATGTTGATGGTTTGGTAATTTATGGCTTGTAAATTTAAGAAATCTGTAGAAATCTCTGGGAAACAGAGCAGATCATGAGAGAAGAGAAACAGGAGGTTCTAATACCTTTTACAGTAAAGGACTGTGATTTCATTAAAATGCATTTTTAATCTTACATATTAACTACAATAATGCCTCTGGATAACTTATTTTTACATCTTTTAAATCTGTATTGAAGTCTAGCATAAACCTGTACAATGCTGACCAAGCAAGCAGTTTATATAAACATATCCAGAACCCAGAATGGGTCGGGTTGGAAGGGACCACAGTGGCTCCTCTGGCCCAACCTCCCTGTTCAGCCAGGTCAGTGCTTTCTCTGCCACACCTGCTCATGCAAAGCTTTCTGCCCTCATAAAGACTTTGCATCGGATTTGATAGCAGGATTGCATAAAAAAGACAAAATAATTTAGTCCATGGAATTAGAAGTCATTAATTCAATGTAAAGACTGAAAAAATCAGTAAGTTATCCAGGCTGAGTTCATCAGTTTACAAATGTTCTTTCCATATGCTTTCTAGAGCTTTGTGCATGCTGATTTACAATAAACTAATATCTTCAACTGGAAAATATTTCACAGAGTTAAAATCCAGTCTGATTGTATGCACACACAAATGCAGAAATGGAACAAGAACAATCTTGATTGAGAAGTAAATTAGCAAATACAGAATAAATTTTGTATAGATATATTGGTATAGGTATTTTGGTATAAATGCAACAGTAAGCACTGCTGTTCATTTAATAGCTGAAGATGAAACTTCAATGAAAGACTATAAAGACATTCCTGTTTCTCAGAGGTCTCCTTACAATAATATTATAAAGCAGAAATTATAACTCAATTTAAAATCTAAAAAAATCCCTGTGGACTTTCACAACTAAATGAACCTATTATCTAGTAAGTTTAACCAGTGATAACTGTCTACAAACTACTTTTATTTCCAAAGTTTCTATGTATGGGTCTCATCTAAAACAAAAATAAGGTTCTTTATTATGCAAAATGAATCCTGTATAGTTTACGATCCTCTGGGGACTTTATTGGCTGAAAAGCAAAATGAAATGTGAGCTCAAATTTGATGTGTTTGTTATTTCTCTTCTTTAGTTAGTGAAGTTTGTATCAATAATTTTTATGCCTATATACTAGCTCCTTTATAGTTACAATTCCATAGCAAGGCTCTCCGTACTACTAAAGTCACTTAGTGTAAAACTCAAAACAACATACATAATCATACACTGGTTTTAATTTCTGACCTAAATGTTTAATAATCATGTTATTACACACACTAGGTTTAGGAGGCAACATGTTGTGCTGTTTCCTGGCATGGCTGCTAGCTGGGGTTAAACCACGACAATGTATAAACACATATATAGATGTAACAAAGCAGATTCCATGTATTTATCTATTGTGTACAGAGTTAAAAAGTACACACATTTTCTGTTTCAAGGGCTGAAACTATATCTTTCACCAAAATTCAGCTGTTTTCATATTGGAAATGTATTTAATCTGGAAACTTTCTGACATTAGAAATAGAACAACTGTAGTTTCTCATTATTTTTGCTGCCAGAATCTATGCTTGGTTGCTCAACTAAAGACCTTATACTGCTAATTACTACCACATGCCCATATCCCAAGCAAAGGAAAACTTATTGGTTCTGACAATCCATTCTCTCAACACTGAATTCCAAATGAAAACTTCAATTTTGGCCAAACATAACATTTCATCAATCTTGTTCTACTGACTGCAAAAGCAACATCAAACAAGGGGTCCTAATGGCTTTTTACTGTGCAGTTCTCAAGCTTAGATTCTCTGATGAAAGACCCACATGAGCAAAGGAATCTTTAAACTACTTAGTAATTAATAATTGAACCAGAAAACAATGCATAAAGTAAATTGAACAGTTTTTATGCTGATGACAGAGATGAGTTTCAAGCAACAAATTATATGAGCAGTAGAGATCAGCAGAGAAAGCACTGACAGAGTGAGATAAAAACAAACAGACAGTGCATACAAAGAAAGACCAAAAAAAAAGTGAAAAAAACAAAATTAAGCACGCCCCAAAGCTAGCAGAAGCCTGTAATCTGAAGTTGAGCTTTTCATGATGTGGGGTTCTGACTGAAGATCAGGTCCAAATTTAGAGACATCTGAGCAATGCTGGGTACTGGTGACAATGTACAAGGGGACAAACAAACCCTGTTTGCAAAAAAGGTTTTTAACCATATTCCCCTCTGCTGTAACTCCTTTAGAGCTTTAAAAACAGAGGGATATGTTCTGAGTTTGAAAAATTTCTCTTTGAGGAAACAAGTATGAATATAAATATGAAACTCTTCTGGCCTCTGACAAATAAATATTTTGGGAAATTAACAATACTACTAATTCCCAGAAATAAATCAAGGCATTTAGTCTGTCTAGGTAAGTGATGAAAGTTTCCAACATCAGTGTTTACAGTTTACCTAAGACATTTGAGGGTATCTCAATAAATGCATATATTGAAGTTTACTATCTAATTGCTTGAGTGTTATTGAATAAAAAATTGTATAGTTACATCTAATTTTAAAACTTTGATTTATTTAAACAGTGATAAAAAAGTGCTCTAGAATTAGCTCTGTGGGACATTTACAGTCTTTTTGTTACACAGAGAGGAGCAATAAATCCATAATCCACTTCAACAAAATGTTGCATGGGTGATGATTTGAAAGGAACAAAGCAAAAATTATCTCCTTCAAGTAAGAAGGACAATTCATTAGATAAATTTATTGCAGTACTTTATTTATATCATATGAAAAGGACTCTCTATATGACTAGACTTTTAGGGCAAATATACTCTACCAGTGGATGTCACAATGGTATGTAATGAAATGAAGGATGGCAACACTAAAGGTGATATTATGCTGTATCTCTCTACATTGCCAAGGACAGCTAGCTCAGTAAAGGCTTTATCCCAGAATGTCCAGGAGCTGGGAATGCCAGAAAGAGCTAGCTTTAACTTGGTCAAAAAACAAGCAGGCTTTCAATAGAAATGTAATGAGGTAATGTTTAAATAAATAAAATTTAACCTTTGCCACCAGTTAAAAATATTAGGTTTGGTTTTTTACCATACTGTTTTGATATTAAGGTTACTGCCTGCTGTTCTTCAGATATGCCTAATGTGATACAGGGAAGAGAATTGCTTTAAAATCCCTGGTCACAGATTCTAAACTCATGAGAGTTTGCAATATCCATGGAAGGTCAGAAAAAGCTGTATGAGATCTGAATCTGCTGGTTGAACATTGAGAAACAGGGCTCTTAGACTTCCTACATAGTCAGTCCAACCGAACAAACTGGTAAATATTATCTGCTATTTTGCATCCAGTAAAACAAGGTTTTCTGAAGAAATGAGTTGTCTGAAAATCATGCCAATTATCATTGTCACTTAGTTAAGAGACAAACCACACGATATTCTGATGCCCAAAATGGTCAAGTGACAATTCACCCTTGCTGCAGAAGTTAACTGCATGTGTAATAGCAGTACTTCCTACAAGCTGTGTCAGTGTACTCTGAGTGGAATCCAGGTTCTCTTGAAGAAGGGACAAAACGTTGTGACTTGTACCATAGCACAGCCCAGGTCTCTAATTACAGTGTGACAACTCTCCAGTGGTAACATCTGATGTCAAAGAACACAGCCTTGCAAGCTGTGAGTCAGCTGTTACCACCTTCAGGGGCTCTTTAGAGTCCCACAACCACACCTGGTCTTTTTGGACTTACTTTCTGCCTCGGGTTGAGTTAAAAGTTCCGCCGTATTTCTTCCGATTAAGGATGAGAGCAGCAATTTCTGGCACGTAGCGAGCAAACATTGCCTACATGCATGAAACAAAAACACAAAAAAAAAAAAAAGAAAATGGCATGCAGAGAGTGTTCTACTGCAGCAGAGGCAGCAGAGCCTCTTGGGATACTTACTTTCTTCCACTAACCGCACTATAGGAACCACCATATTTCTTGCGGTTTCCTATTAACTCTATGATTTCAGGGACGTAGCTGGCAAACATGGCCTAAGAAGAAGATAGGAGACAGAAGAAAAGACTAAAAAGAGAGGCCAAAGAAAGGGGGATGATGAATATTTTCAGAAGATATATATTCTTAAGATCTGAAAATGCAAAAGAAGTAGATCTATGCAGTTGTTTAAAAATAAAATTTAAAAAAAATGAAAAATTTCTTATCAAACAAAACAAGAGGGCTCAATGTAAAAGTTGGTCTTAGAGAAGGTACACACCTTATAAATAAAGAAAATGGTCAAAAGAGGAAAAATGGACATGTAAAACAAAACAAGAACAAAACTACTTCAAACTGGTATCTAACCACAAAAAACAGTTATGTCTACTTCTTCCTGAAGAGGGGAGGGGGGAAAAAACCTATCCAAGCCCCACTGCAAAAAAAAAACAAAGTCAAGTATTATCATTACTGTAACATTTCCGTTTCAAATACAGACTCTTTCCCCCATTGTAAGAATTTTAAAAAGATAAAAACAAGATTAAATCAGGGGTTATTTCCCCATCAAGAAACAAAAAAAATCACCCCCCCAGCCCCCCTCAAAAAACTTTTCCAAAAGTTCTTGGGTTTAGAAGGATTGGAATAATATGTGATAGAAAAAAGGTTTTGAGGAGAAAATAAAAATTATTCTGCCATGTTTTGTCCAACAAACAGCTTCCTTGTGGCTGGATACTTCGAAGAGCTTCTGCCATTTGACATGATCTTTGTCTTCACATGTCAATAAACAGAGATGAGAATGCATATATGCAATGCTCATACATATCTGTGTGTGTCCAATATATGGCATTCATAACCTTGGTTATATACATAGCACCTCTGTGAGATGTATGTATATGTGAAACCAATGGATGAGGGTAAGGTAACAATATACATATGTGTGTATGGGCACAATATACATTACAAGTCACCCACATAGCATTTACCTTGTACAGGGTAAATACTAAAATAAACTTGGCTAGTTTAGAGAACATTGCAACAAGTGTAATAATATTACTAACACTGACAAAAAATGGAAAAATTGGCAAGACAAACAGTAACTTGGGTGCTGTTTACATACAGGACAAAGAACATGAGAAATTAGTGTTATAAAAGGATACGTGATAAATTGTGAGCTAAAATTGTACTACATGACATGAAAGGATGTTTGAAATTAAAGGGAGCGTGGTTTGCCATCATCTGGATCAGGCAAGCTGCTCTTTAAGGCAGTCCAAAGCCACAGTGTTTGTTGGAATTCTGGGAAGGAACACAGAAGGGTGGGTAGGACCTCTGAAACCGCAAAGTGCCTTTAAATATCAATAGCAACCTCCATTAATGCTCTACAGCCAGTCACTAAGAAGTAGAGGACTACAAATAACATTCTATGTTGAAATATTAAGGCACTTCATGTATTCACATGCATTAATCATTTAAATGGATTTGAAAAATTCTAATTTTGGACTAATTCTGGACTAATTTGACAAGCTCTGCCAAAATATTTATCTACAGGAAAAAATGCATATTAAACATATTTAAATGTTTTATAATTAATTTTAGTTTAATAATCCAGATATTGTTCCCTTAATTACAATACTGAGATATAGAGGATCAAGTTTTAAGGTAACTGGAGTACTAAGAAGAACATAAAGAAGAATTTTTACCAATCCCCCAAGGATGAAGAAGACCATGAAAAGGCGACCAAGGGTTGTTTTTGCATAAACATCTCCATAGCCAACGGTGGACATTGTAACCATCAGCAAATAAACACATTCCCAGTATGTTAGCGGTTGATTATTTTGGAAATTTTCCCATGGATCCCCTGAGTTCTCCACCTACAATGTACAAGAAAACATATAATGAATTATATTAATTATAACTGGCTCTAATTAACCCCAAATTAACTCTACCCATATATGCATGTGCCTTTGTGTGCATATAGATATATACTTTGGCATATAATACAAACTCTGAATGCTTTCCTGTGATTTATTTTCATCAAATACAGAACCTGACCATGTGCCAAAATAGAGCACTGCAGTTCTTGTGCCAGTATATACAGCCTTGCTACTCAGATCATTTATGGGAAGTATCTTTTCCAGGCACCACTAAATAATGTAACTTACTCATGTAGTTTGGTAAGTTCATTTATAAAAATGTGTTCAGAATATTTTCAGAGTAAATCTTAGTTTTAATGCAATTATACTCCTCAATGTTTTTGTTTTTAAAAATTATGTTTCTATTGAAGGTATTACTGGCACCTTTAGTGGAATGCTACTGCTTTTTCAAAAAGCCAGCCACTGTAAAGACAAAACTATAAATTTGTCAGTGGGAAAGGAGTGTGCCATCTAAAATCTGCTCCATAGTAAAAAGTTGAAGTTTGAGTACTCCTTCAGTAGAATAGAAAAGCTTTTGCTGAAAAACAAAGGAAAAGAATTCCAAATCCTAGGAAACAGAATTCTCTTGGTGTTGACATAGTATTTAAGGGGTGTTGTGCTGTTTGGTAAAAACTAGGAAAAAAAAAAGTATTGTTTTAGATTGAAACGCTACATTTGCCCAGAGGAGTGTTAAAATACGTTTCTACGTGAATGAGAAATATACCATAAATTAAAACACTCAAAACCTCTGTGCACCTTTACAAGGGCGAACATTAGAGGACTGATACCGCAAGAAAAGAAGGAGCTGGAATGCGATCCCGCCCAGCTGGACGCAGCTTTGCAGCGGAGCCGGTGGAAGCGCTCCGCACCGAGCCCGGCCCGCTCGGGCGTTCCCGGGCCGACACCGCCCCCTGCTGCTCGCCCGCGCCGCTGCCGCCCCCGGGGCACGGGCGGACAGAGCCCCGCTCCGCCTCCGCGGAGAGCAGGGCGAGCCTCCGTATCGCGGGGAGCTGGCATGCCTCCTTATTGCGGGTATCGCTGGCATGTCTCCTTATTGCGGGGAGCTGGCATGCCCCCTTATCGCGGGGAGCTGGCATGCCTCCTTATTGCGGGCAGCTGGCATGCCCCCTTATCGCAGAGAGCTGGCATGCCCCCTTATTGCGGGTATCGCTGGCATGCCCCCTTATTGCGGGGAGCTGGCATGCCCCCTTATTGTGGGGAGCTGGCATGCCCCCTTATTGCGGGGAGCTGGCGTGCCCCCTTATTGCGGGGAGCTGGCGTGCCCCCTTATTGCGGGGAGCTGGCATGGCCCCTTATTGCGGGTATCGCTGGCATGCCTCCTTATTGCGGGGAGCTGGCATGGCCCCTTATTGCGGGGAGTTAGCTGCCTCCTTACTGCGGGGAGCTGGCATGGCCCCTTATTGCGGGTATCGCTGGCATGCCCCCTTATTGCGGGGAGCTGCCGTGCCCCCTTATTGCGGGGAGCTGGCATGGCCCCTTATTGCGGGGAGCTGGCGTGCCTCGTAATTCCGGAGGGCTGGGATGCCCCCTTATTGCACTTTACCGACGGGGTACGGCACTACCGAGAGCAGCGCGCTGCCAGCAGTAAAGCAGCTCGGAGCCCGCGGTCCGGCAGAAAAAGTCAAGCGTGTGTTTGCAAATGCACTTACCAAATGTATGAACCCAGCTGCTGTCAGCCACGTGCTGATAAATATAGAGCACAGATTCACTAGCTTGATGGAATTACTGGAAATAAACAAAGCAAATAGGAGCTTAGACTAGAATTTGTCACATATTTTTATAGGTACCTGTATACAACTGCCAACTTTAGACTCAAGAACCTGATCATTATTTCCCAAAAGGAAGATTCCCTAGAAAACTTATTCAAAAGTTTATGTATAATATGTGCTATTTTTCCTTTCATGAGTTCATATTTTCATAATTTAGATAGCTTGAAAAGAAAGTCCCAATGTATGAGAGCAGAAAGGCAAACAGAAACCTTAGCTACATCAGTAGTCAAAAACAAACTAATAGAAATAAATAATGCTTTTTCACAGATAATCTGGTTGCCTCTCTGATACACTCACCTCTTCATTTTTCACTGCTATACACTCAGAATTATTCACACATAAATACATAAAAAATACATGAGAAAACGGATTCTCAGATTAAAGAACTAAGGTATTTCACAATTCCTGTGTAAAGTCCTAAGTGTTTTCATATTATTCTTGTTCCTACGGAACTCTTTAGGGAAAATTCACATGAAACTAGAGTATTTCATACTTAACACTCACAGTTTGCTCTAAAAAAAGAAAAAGGTATAATTTAAACCCACCAAAAACATATGCAAATGCTTTTTAGTTGCACTGAGTACTATTTTCCCTATTCTAGCCAGAAGGGATTTTGAAACAAGGACCTCACTCAGTTTCGCAGGAAAACACCATACTCTAAAATCTTCTGGAGGAAATACAAATAAAACCTGCTCTCTCTTTTACAAAAATCACTGTCCTAAGAAGGATATTCAACAGAAACACGAGGAACTGTTGTCCATGTATGACTGTGTTTAAACAATCTTACCTATTCTTGCTTTTGCAAATATTTATAAGAAGGTAACACCTCAGAAAAGACCCCACAATTATCCTTAAAGCATTACATTAAAAACTATAAAAATTGAAAAAAAAATCACTATCAGTGTTAGCAGTAGTAATTTTGTGGTAGAATTAATGTTTCTGTTTATAACCACTTTAAGGACAATAAAAATGCATCCTTTTCTGAACAAAATAACCCGTAAAATTAACCAGTACAGGTCCTTAAAAGATATTTTAGAAGTTAGAGTTAGTAGACATATGGGAGTACAAGAAATAGAATATGACTGGGTAATATGACAGACGAAATGAATACTGTATTCAAAAATAAAATAGCGTATCAGCAGTCTTGTCATTAGTGTTCACCAACATCAACATACTCCCTATTTCTCTCTTTCTTCAACTATGGTTGATTAAACTCCCAATTTTCTTAGTGGTAACATTCATTTATAGCACAGGACCCTAACCAACGGGTTCCTAGATTAAACAAAATCATAGGAGTGATGCTGATGCAAAGCTCCATTATCAAAGGCTGAATATCATCCTTCACCTGAGCTTAGAACACAAGATGTTCCTGATAAAAAATTATGTGTCTGTTGGTCTCTTCATATCACTGTAACACCCATTAATAGTAACTATTTACATGACTTGTTTCAAATTTTCTCCTTCTTTTCTCTTTTCTCCAATAAGAAAAAAATTTACTGTAACCTCTAAATGAAAATTGCTCCTGGAATTATTGACTGAGATATGAGGATTAAAGGAATGCGTATTATTTACACAGTGAGCAGAAGGGCCATTCCAAAAACTGGATCCAGTGAAAGAAGGTGCACAGTGCAAAACCAGAGACAGTAAGGAGAATAGTAAAGTGTTAGGTGCATTTGGTACATTTTATTTTTGAAGATTTATTAAACACTGTGTCTTGTCTGTCCTCTATGAAATACTCCCTGTGTTTCTGCCAGAGTCTAAATATAGATGAAGGATTAGTCATAAACATTTTCTCCCTCTTTAAGCTCTTTCCAACATCTGTGCAAAATCCCTTACTGTGAGCCCTGCTTAAGCCCCTGCAGATTTTTTGAAAAATATTAGAAAACAATACAGTTTTCAACTGAAAACTGTAGAATTCAATTTCATAAAACAAGGGAACAAAAAATCTTGAGTGAAATACATTTAATTTCAAATTAGGGAAACAAACGGGTCCTTGGCAGAGTACAGCCTTTTAAAGTGCCACTGTAAAATTTTGCTTTGTCTTACAGGAGCTTTTCAAATATACTTAGCTTTTTTTTCAGATATTCTAATCACCTAACACTTCACTATTCTCCTTACTGTCTCTGGTTTTGCACTGTGCACCTTCTTTCACTGGATCCAGTTTTTGGAATGGCCCTTCTGCTCACTGTGTAAATAATACATATTCCTTTAATCCTCATATCTCAGTCAATAATTCCAGGAGTAATTTTCATTTAGGGGTTACAGTAAATTTTTTTCTTATTGGAGAAAAGAAGGAGAAAATTTCCCTGCAACTGCACTAAATATTAAAACCACAGTATTGCCCAGTACACCCTAACAGTTCTCTCATCTTCTCATTTGTTATTTGTTATTAGTGCCAAATGCACTTAAATCCCTAGGTCAAATTGGTTCCATATATTTTTCATATAAATACATATCACCTGAAACAGACAATTCTTCTCTTTTGTGAATTTTTAAATATTAAAACCTGTTTTTTCTCCCTACTTTAATTTCAGAGCTAGTAATGATATACTGAATTTTCTATCCCAATTCAACAATTTAAGTTCTGTCACTGACTCTTGGTCTTTATGTTCAAAAAAATCCTAAAATGTCAAAAAAATTCAATAAAACCTTAGAAGTGGACTGCAAAAAACGCTAAAATATCTTAATTCTAGAAGATTTTTTGCCATCCCTGAGCAAAATAATGTTGCAGTACCAGGCCAAAAGCATACAACACTGTGTAAGCCTTTAAAGTAATAATAAAGTCTAAGGCTACAGTATGCAATTGAAATCACTGACTGCATTTAGGGAAGTAAATTTTATTTAAATAATACTAGATTTGTTGAAACTAGTAGTTTAACTGCTCTAACTTGTACAAATTTTTTAAAGATTCTCCATTAATCAGAAGGGCTCAGCACGCTTATTTTTTTAGGAAGCAAATTAATTCAGAACCAGAAGCTCTCAATTACATAGGATTCTGGTAGTGTCACAGAAAATGTGTGTGCAGCACGTGAACTGCAGCTCTGATGGTACTTCAGAACACACTAAAAATATGAAATTTCTCATTGAAGCAGTAGCAGTAATGAATGAATTTTATAGCTTGTTGCTTTCTAAAAGCTAAACTCATACAAGACATTAAAAGAACCCCAAACACTTACACAATCAAATTTATGTCAGTTGTAACTAGAAACTCTTATAAAACAAATTGTACTCTGTTAATTTGTTTTAATTTGACACATCCATAAAAAAAAATAAATGTTTTGTGAACATTGCTGACATTCCAAATTATTCAGGTCATTTCAGGTTATTAAGTAAGACAACAAAGAGAGCAGACATGACTTTCTGTTGCATTACCAGGAACAGGGAGACACATAAAAAACTGTTTTGAGGCAGTGACAGTTTTTCAGTTAAATAAATGATGTTAGTGATGAACTGCTAAGGATGAATTAACTGACTAAACTGAAACACTCACATAAGAAAGTTTTGCTTTACAGACTTTCACTAATCAACATTTGAGGTCTATAGATATTTTGGCAGTTGTATAAATAATAACAGAGATTATGATATCTAATATAAGAGTAAATTCTGCCCCAGAGAAAGGCTATTTCAATGAACAGGTCAATCTTAAATAAAGCAGGTCTGAGTACCTTGAAAGTGATTAATGCACATATTTATGGATCTGGAATTTCACAAATCCCCCAATACTGAAGGGGCTATTAGCTTTTATCCAAAATCTTTGAGTTTATGGGGCTCCTCTAATGACTGCCATTTCTTATGACAGAGTTGTTCTCCATCTTATTCTCCATTCCCATACTGAGAATTCTGAGATATGGGACTTCACCTTACATTCCTTGATGTCTTTGTTTGACCAGAAATGTCTTCCTTCCAGTAACTAAAGACAGATAGTGTGAGAATTTCACAGCATAGAGAATAGTTTCAAGGTTAAGGGTTGAAGAAACAGCTGTTTACTGTAAATCTGTACAAATTTCAGTACCTATTTTCCTATTGCTACAAATTATCACAGCAAGGAATGGATTTACCTGCATATAAAGCCCTCACAGATCTATAGCAACTGGTGCAGAGAGGGGAAGTTTTCAAAATGGAATTGATTTTACAGTAATTATTGGAAGCTGTGGTCAATACTTCCCCTGCAGCATTTTAGAGAATGATGAAAAACAATATGTCTTCAACTGCAAGGCATGGGAAGGTTTCTCCTTATTTCCTTCAAAATGATCTTTTGTCCAAAACTGTGCTTTTCCTGCACAACATTGATTTATTAATAGGCCAAAGAAGCAGTAAGCCAGAAGGTTAATTGGAATATTTTAATTATTACATGGAAGAAATACTAAGGATAATGAACACAAAATAAAGATAGCTCAGCATAAAGTTAATGATTTTGATGTGAAAAAAGATGCTTGGTTCAAAAAAACTGGAAGAGCCACAATGAGAATTTCTCAAAATACTTTTTAACTGTATACTTTTGAATGAATTTTGATGTCAGTTTTTTCAAGACAGCAGAACATAACTGATTATATGAAAAGAAGCAATGTTTAATCGGTACATAGAGATGTAAATCACTGAGCTTTTAATTTATCAACACATAACCTTGCTCGGTTTCAAACAGTGGATCAATTAAAATGATGACATTGCAAAAGATGCTGTCACTGACAAATCATTCATCAGCAGAAAAAGGCTTAAAGAATAGATAACAAGTGTAGGGGTTTTTCCAGAAAAGAAAAGCATATGTTACTAGGGCCCCAAATCAAACCCATTTACATTCTGTCACCAATGCAACTAAATCAGCATCCAAGAAAAAGTCTTACCTTGTTTTAAGTATATTCAGAAACTGCAAGATTTCTGAAAACTGTATCAGTCTAAGGGCTCTTAAAAATCTTAAACCTGCAGTAAAAGAAAACAAAGTTATAGTAAAGAATAATTCAAGTTGTAACAGCATATCACAATGACAGTGATCAATTAAATCAACACAGGTAACATACAAAATGTCAGATACCTTTGAAATGCTCTTCCATATTTAATTGTTCAAGGATCCTTAACAGGTATTTTTCAATTTTTTTTCAAGTTTATTTCCCTAATAACAGGTTTATCCTACCAGAAAGTGTTAATTTTTGTAGGAAGTAATGGAAGGAGACACACAGGCTGAAAGCTAAGGGGGAAAAACCTCACTGAGGTTTCTGCTGGCAGCTGCAGTGCACATGTCCTTCTCTTTCAGGCTGTCAAAGACACAGGCAGGTCTGAAACATCTCAGTCCTCCAAGCTCCCACGTTGCTTAGTGAAAAATAACAGATCATGGGCAAGAGATCTGATAACCTGGATAAAGTAGACTGTATATGCCTGATTAAATTTGGTAAATCTTAATGACGTAAAATCTTTTATAGTAATAATGCTCCCTATCTCCACTCTCGTTTCAAAAACCTGATGCAGGAAGACAGAGAAATCACACTTTTTCTCTTAAAAATGGCAAATTTACTACAATTCTTTCCATCAGTCTGTAACTACAGGAATACATTACATATCACTATTTTTAAAATTGCATTTTTACAAATAAATAGCATTTTTATGTTGAAATCAGATTGCGTGCATAACAATTCCCAGACAACTAAAAAAATCAGTAAGACAAAGAGTGTGTGTGCAAGAGAAACTAATTGAGAAGATTAAGGGCTTAAATTATTAAAATAGTCTTATGCTGATAGTAAATGATTTGGCTGCAGATCTTTGGCATATGAATGAAAGTACACTCTGTACTGTACATATGCACAGCTTATAAAATTAAAGTAAAGCATGAAGGATAATTTTTATTAGAGAGTACAGCCAGGAGTTACATAAAAGTTGTGTAATGTGATATTGCAACTGTTACAGGAAGGTCCAGAGCAGCTTCTTCTCACAGATTCTCATTATTGACATCTATTTTACCCAACTCCAGTGCAGGAAACCACTTTTTATTTCTAGAAACTTAAGGAAATACTGATCCTGGCAAACATATAAACCTGGTCAGAACTTTCATCATCTCACTGGAATAAAGAGGTTCCCCTGAAGCACAAGGGTGCATGTGGCAAGATGTGTTTAAATCAAGAAGTTTTTCCTGCAGTATTATTGGAAAGTTGTTAAATAAAGTATTTGCTCTTATATTTTGCCTTGTTAAGACTCCTAAGTAATGTTAAAGTACACTCCTGTCTATTATATGGATATAAAGTTTCTTTTTAATTACTGACTGTGGGTAACTCTGAAAATTAATCACAACTTGCTAAATGGATTCAGGGACCTAAGTGAAAAGCAATTAAATGAAGCTTAATAATGCCAAATGTCAGATACATTTGCAATTAGAGAATGATAACTTTGGATCACATTGCTGAAACTGTGAGAGACACATCCCTCTGCTCCTCTTCCAGGAGTTCCCACAGTTGTTACTCCTATCCAAAGGGATGTGGTTAGACAGGGAAGGGGAGGATCCTTATTAGCTACCATAAACCCTCCAGCTCTTTTTCACCCAGCTGCTTTCCTCACTCTGCTCCCTATAAACTTTTATGAAAAATGGCTGGAGTAAAAACACCCTGCACTGCATCTGAAGCTAATGGTAAGATCAAGTTAACCATTGCTATGTTTCAAAAAGAAACCTGAGAAACATCTAAGTTAGCAATAAAATCTCTATCTCCAAATCCTTATAAGGGTTAAGTTATATTTTAATAGTCAAGTCATCAAATGATAGATGAAAAATACTATGTGTTTTTTGTGTTCAATGTGTTTTTTGTGGAAAAAGAAAATTATTAGAGGTGAAGTCCTGCATTTGCTGCAGCCCACACAATTATTAAAAATTTCCTTCAGAGAATAGAATTAGGAAAAAGAAAAACAAATCACTAGAATGTTTGTTTGGACATTTTAACTACAAAATAGGGCTGGCTTTCAATTATAAAAGCCAAAGCAATTATTACATGGCAAAATTCTTTCCAGTATCCTGAAATTTCCTAGGCACGAACAGACCTCCTATTATATTCCTATACGTATTTCATTTTATGTGATTTTCACAGAATCATACAAGAGTTTGGATAGGGACAAATTTTCAAGGTCATCTTGCCCAAGCAACCCTGCAATGAGCACCTAGATCAGGTTTCTCAGAGCCCTGTCTGGTTTGACCTTGAATGTTTCCAAGGCTGCGGCATCTACCACCTCTCTGGGCAACCTGTTCCAGTGTTTCACCATGGTCATTGTAAAAAAATTCATTATCTGTATTCTAAACAGCCCTCTGTTATATTGAAACCGTTACCCTTTCCTCTATTGCAGCAGGTTCTGTTAAAAAGTCTGCTCCCTTCAGGCACTGAAAGGCCACAATAAGCTCTTCCCAAATCCCTCTTTCCTCCAGGCTGAACAACTGAACTCTCAGCCCTTCCTCACAGAGAGGTCCTGCATCCCCTTTTTTGTGCTGAGGGCCCCAGAGCTGGACACAGAGCTGCAGGTGGGGATCTCAAGAATGGAGAACAGGGTAGAATTTCCCCCCTTGCCCTGCTGCCCGTGCTGCTTTGGATGCAGCCCAGCACACAATTGGCTTTCTGGGCTGCAAATTCCCATTGCTGGCTCATATCCACCTCCTATCTCCAAGTACCCCCAGCCCTCTGCAGGGGCTGCTTTCAACCCTTTCCTCACCCAGCCTGTGTTGGCTGGGGATGGCCCCAAGCCAGGTGCAGGACCCTCTCCTTGGCCTTGTTGAGCCTGAGGAAGTTCCCACAGACCAACTTCTCAGACTTGTTCAGGTCCTGGATGGCATCGCGTCCCCTCAGGCACCCCAGCTGCACCACTCAGCTTGGTGTTTGCTGCACACTTGCTGAGGGGGCTCTCAAACCCACTGTCTCACAACTGAGAGCATGGTACCTCTTTCAGGTCTACCCCCTTACCAAGAATAGAAACAGTTGATATTTGTTTATGCATCAAAAATAGAAAGCAAAATTCACTCATAGGAGCACTAAAGAAAAGGTCCCCCTTCGCAAAGCAGTTTCAGCTACATATACAAATGTATACAGCTCTCTTTCCTTAGCAAAATTTGGGAATCTGTTTTATACAAGTGGAGAAGAAGAATTTCTTTTCTTATGAAATACCTACAAAACTGTTTTACATTTAAATGATTTCACCAAGAGTTGAGATATGGTAAGTTTCTTATGAATTACAGTGAAGTCCATTCTAATTTTGCACATTTCATAACCCTGTCTGCTAAAGTTAATTGTAAACTGCTAAACAGAATGCTCAGGAAGTGCTTGCTACTTTGTCTTCATCAGGTAACTTAACTTTTTCTTGGCAAAGAGTTTTACATTTGAATTTTCTTATGGGATCTAATTAGAATAGGATATAACCTGCTATACTACAAATTATACAAAAAAAAAGTACCAAAATATTTAATTTACCTTGAAAATCTCTGTAATAAGAGAAAAAATCCACAGGTAAAATAAAAGAACAACCTCTTGAGTTTCTCAGTCTTCTGCTTCTAAATGGATGACTAAAATATGCTTAGGATTTGGAGTTCATTTCAGCCACAATATCCAGAACAAAGCTAAGATATTCATAGATATCAAGACCAGAAAAAACTTTTATTATTATAAACAATGTGAACAGACTCCTTAAACAATATGAAACTAAGTGTTTCCATCAATAGTTTTTGCCTCTAGTACAATAATCTGAGTTGTAGGTATGATGATTGAAATAAACCTTCAACTCTTCCACAGGATTCTTTTCTTACTGCAAAAATATTTGTTCAGCAACTGTGTTGCCTGTGCAGCAAACATACCATTTTCAAAATGCACTGAAAATACACTCAAAATACACTGAAATAAAATATGTGTGTAATATGATTTAATGGTGTTCAACCTAAAATCTGTAAAAAATGGTCACTAGGAGAGGTTACATATTGCCAAAAACCTCTGAAATCAGTTTGAAAGAAATCAATTATCTGTTCAATAGGAAGAATATGCCATGCTGAACTACCAGGCTACATCTAGAATATAGCAGGAGTATTTTTTTTCTGACTCTTTACTAAGGACCCAGCAAAATTGATGGATTCTTTAGAACAGAATAGTGATCCTGGACCAATAGACTATGTGCCAGTAGCAACACAATTACAGTCGAAAATTATTTTATCTATAAACTTTACAGCAAAGTAAAGTTTATAGATACAGCAAAGTAAACAGTATTATTTAGAGCTTTATTTGACTTTAAAGGCAATAGGGTATTCTCCTGTCTGTCAGACAGTTTTGCACTCTCTCTGCTGAACTGATGCTTTCCCCTGGATTAATATACAGAAGCAACCAGGATTAGCCACAGGTTGCAAACCCCAAGTCACCCCCCTCCCCCCAAAAAACTAGAATTTTCCCATTTTAAATCTTTAAAGGGAAAGGAAAGGCATGACAACTATACTTAGATGATTTAAATGAGATTCTAATAAATAGAATCAGGAATTGGGATATTTCTTCATTCAACATGAGAGGTCAATTTGACAAGAGCAGCACCAAGCATTACACCGTTTCTCACAAATGAGATATGTAATGCCCATCTTACTGCCTTAGGCTGCCTTTTTTTTTTTTAATAGACAATAGTATGTCCAAAATATTGGTGTAAGGGTTCAATACACAGAGATTCTGTTTACCACTTCTATTCCTGACAAAGCATTCACCCACTTATCAGAACAGCATCTTCATCAAACCTATCAATGGCTACTTCCACCATAGATTTCATTAAGACCACACGCTTTACTGAAGTCAGAAAAATACCCCAGAATACATATTTAGGAACCTTTTTTGAGACACAGGATGGAGAGATAACTTTTAGGATGCAAAATAATCCCATTTTGAACATCTTCACAGAGTGCAGCAGAATTTTCTGAGATCTTACTCCCTGTAGAT